TGGGTGGGCTGTTTCAGGGAATAAAACTAGTAAGTTAGAGGAAATTGTCTGCGCTTACGGAATTCAGCCGCACGGGCCCGTAGCGGTGGCGCATGAACTAGGATGGAGCCCGTGCTTGTAAGCCAATCAAAGAGCGTCAACTCATTTAATATTTTCTGCCTACATGCGCCGAAAGTGAGCATTCTAACCCCACTTCGTTCGGTTAGAAACGTCGCTTTTGCCGGATTTCGGCAGAAAAATCGTATGCAAACCTCGGGAGGATAATCACACAAGCATTTCCCACGTGCATACCACCCTGGCCTTCGGCTCGGGTGGTAATTTTGCACGTTGGAAGGACTCGTCTACTTTTCCTCCCTAGGTGAGCAATATATTATTGTGACTTACCCTTTAACAATTGGAATCGATTGTTAATAATTTAATGATTTGAATATAACAACCAAATTAAGAATTTTAGTTCAGTTAAAATTAATTACCTAAATAACCTAATATTTGTGAATTACTCTTTAACAATTGAAATCGATTGTTCATAATTTAATGATTTGAATATAACAAGCAACTAAAAATTTTAGTTTAGTTAAAATCAATTACCTAAATAACCTAATATTTGTGAATTACTCTTTAACAATTGGAATCGATTGTTAATAATTTAATGATTTGAATATAACAACCAAATTAAAAATTTTAGTTCAGTTAATTTTTCAATATTTAGAATTCGAACATTTTAATCATAAATTAATTGAACAGATAATTTCATGTTTGTAGATGACCCTTTAACAATTGGAATCAATTGTTCATATTTAATTTCACTATTGCACCTAAATTTAATCCTTTAAATTAAAAATTTTCAGTGCTTCAATCTTCGAGCATTTTAATCTTTAATAAATTACCTAAATAACCTAATATTGGTGAATTACCCTTTAACAATTGGAATCGAGTGTTAATATTTGAATTAAAATATTACCTCCAAATTTAAATTTTTTATGTAATATTTTGCAATAATCAACTTGAATGACTGAATAAAAACTAAAACATGAATATTTCAATTATATTTCGTTGAGGAAAATTACTATGATTAACTAACACATGTCAGAGAGGCTTGAAACAGGTACGAATACTTTTGATTGCATCATTTGTTTGGTAATTATTAACATTAAAAAAATCATAAAAAAATGTTCTGAACAAATAGCGCCAAGCCGATGCTAATTTAAACGCAAGATAGAAGCATGGGACAATAACTGCATAGATGAAATCACACAATTTTTAAAAAAATATAAATATTAAATTTAAAAAATCACAAAAAAATTTTGTGAAAAAATGGCGCCAAGTCGACGTGAATCTGATCGCCTCCAAGGCAGAAACATGGGACAATTACTGAATAGTTGAAATGACACAGTAGGCGAACTGATTATGATATAATCTTATTTTTAAAAAACCATGGAAATATTAAAAAATGCCAAATTTATGCTGACAGCGTCAACTAGGACAATTTTCCGCAGTTTTTCTTCCAATTGGAAAATCGATTATTGTTAATAAAGGCTTTTGTCATTCCGGCTGTAAGCCAGTGTTTTACGGCGGCGTCGCTTTGCTTGGCGTCCACGAAACGCTGACTACGGCTGTTATGACAAAAAATAGTGGGCGTCAAACAGCCAAAAAAAATTTGTCGACGAATATGATTGTTGCAAACCTCATTTTCGCTAGAAAAGTTTTTTTCGGCCTAATGACAAATTACTTCAGTCGTTACGGACATCTTATCATGTATAAGCACTACATCTCATTTTAGACTATTCGCTGATGATCTTCGTCCCCCACTCTTTGCCGTTGTCCCATAATGTGAGTGTGCCACCATGCGTCGCTTATGAACGCGCCATCACACTGACGGGTACCCACTCTCCTCATACCGACATGCTATTTGACGTTCATTGGTGAATTGGTTAGGTACACGTCAGGTATACGGAATCCAATTGTGATATATTGAGCTGAATCAAATCTCAATAGTTTTGGCGTTTTGTCAATTAGCGTGCGAACTCTAGCTTTGTCAATCATTCACTTCCTACGAAGTATGTTCATTATCGAACAGCCCGGCGAGCCAAGTTGACTTTTTTCCGAATCAATTTCCTATGGACGGGGTTTGAAACAACATATTTTGTCATTAGGCGGAAAAAACTTTTCTAGCGAAGATGATGTTTGCAACAATCATATTGGTCGACAAATATTTTTTGGCTGTTTGAGGCCCACTATTTTTTGTCATATCAGCCGTAGTCAGCGTTTCGTGGACGCGAAGCAAAGCGACGCAGCCGTAAAACACTGTCTTACAGCCGGAATGACAAAAGCCTTTATTAATAATAATCGATTTTCCAATCGGAAGTAAAACTGTGGAAAATTGTCCTAGTTGACGCTGTCAGCATAAACTTGGCATTTTTTAATATTTCCATGGTTTTTAAAAAATAAGATTATATCATAATCAGTTCGCCTAGTGTGTCATTTCAACTATTCAGTAATTGTCCCATGTTTCTGTCTTGGAGGCGATCAGATTCACGTCGACTTGACGCCATTTTTTCAGAAAATTTTTTTGTGATTTTTTCGTTAAAAGACAGGACACCAAATCGAAAATACAATTATGAAAATTTTATGAATTATTGCATTTCCCTTAATTGTAGTGATGTGAACACCCAATTAATTGTCAAGAAGTTATTGAGAATGATGAGCATGAAAAATTGTCAGAGGCAATCAAGAAAAATTCAAAGCATTGAACCTAACAAAAAGTGGAGTCTAGTCACTGAACCCAAAGATAAATCAGTCATCGGTGTTAAGTGAATGTATATAAGAAAAAAACAAATGATGTGTATAAAGTAAACCGATCAGGTAGATAATGTCTATTCTTCAGTCGCGAGAATGGAATCCCTGAAAAATCTTTTGTGACATTGTTGTCAAGAGTCACTCTATATTGAAAAGTTTTTAAATAATCAAATATCAACAGAAGTATATATCGATCAGCCATTGGGTTTTAACGACGGTACGAAGAGGATATACAAGATGCATAAGTCAATATATGGTTTAAAAGAGAGTCCCCGAGTCCGGTATGAATGCTTTCATCAATTTATCATAGGATTGAAATTCAAGAGAAATAGTTACGACTATTGTTTATATGTAATTGATAACGGACCATATTCTATCTACATTATAATGTTTGTTGATGATGTATTAATTTTTGTTACAAAAAAAAGAACAAGATCAGTGAAGTAAAATCAAAGATGTCCAAACAATTCAAGATGAAGGACATAGGAATGGTCAGTAGTTGCATCGGAATCGAAATTAACCATGATGTTGAGAGAAAAATGATGGCCTTAAGTAAAAACAAATATATCAAATCACTACCCATACAAAATGTAAAACCTTATAAGACCCCTATGGAAATACATCTTAAACTACAACCGGCTCAAGACGTCGATGAAACGGTTAAATATCGGAATTTGATTGGCGAATTACTCTACGTAAATACATGAACGCTTTAGCATTACACTTGTAGCATTCAGTGTTAATTGCCTGAGTCGTTTTCAAGGTTGTTACGATCAGACGTATTTGAATTACGCTCTGAGGATTTTAAAGTACCTGTACCTCACTATGAATCAAAAGTTGCATTATACAGAATCAAAAGATACAGAAGTGTTAGATTGTTCAGTCGATTCTAATTGGGCAGGTGATGGACTCATATGTGAGTTGAGATTCTGGAATGTGTTAAGTTATAAGGTAAATTCCGAGTTACGATTTCCAAGTATTCAATTCAATATTTTTTTGAATCCCACGTTGGGATATTCAGAAGTTTCAAGTGAAGAAGTTTTTAATTCACGTTGAAGTTTTTTTGGTCTTGCATGATCGTAACTAATAATTAATTTTGCCTAGTTTCAACGATTTTTCGCTCGAAATCTAACTACGTGAATCGTTTAGATTTTGTATTTTACAAAGTTACCTTTGCAATTTTATCATAAAAAAGCAGTTAACTTATTAACTCTTAATTACACATGAACTCCTCTTTTTCCTGTAAAATTCCAGTAAAATGGATTTTTCACCTTTAAAACAAAAATGCATCATAAAAATTAATGGCAGTTTCCAAACTTGTTAGAGTGAGTTATTAGTAACTTATTTATTACGTGGTGAAAAACTTCTATAATAAAATGTACCCTGACGGTGTAGTAGAAAAAGTGAGGAGTGTATTAAAAAATACCATTTTTCAAGTAAGAATCATACAAAAATATGGTAATTTTTACAAAATTCACGGCGTTTTTTCTATTAAAGTATCGTAAAAATTTGTTCAGACTTGTTGCGTTATACTTTCTGTAATTCTCTTCGTAAAATTGGCTGTTGTACATATACATTTTTTTTCGCGCGTCTAAACCTTATTATTGATTAAAATTACAATGAAAATCATTACAATGATAATCTTGCGGTAGGAGTTTAATTGATACATTGGCTGATGGGCTAATATTATTTATTATTCAATTAATCCTATACCAAATTTATTTTTCGCGTTACAGTACTGAACGGTTCTCCAACTATAATTTTCGAGCAATTGAACGGAAAATTCGTCATCGACAGTTGTACGGAAAATGTATTGGTCAATATTTTTCATTGCACGATCAATTTTCTGTTTATAATAATCGATCAATTGAGCAATTGATATTTTCACTCAATTATTCATAATATGATGGGTCAAATATTTCTTTTTCATATTAATTCAAGATGTTGTATTCACTTCCGCTACGAATATTACTAAAAATAATATTTCGACCGATCTCTGCATAACACATATAAAATCGGGGTATCTTTTTCTGTTAGATATTTATTCGAGTTTACAATCAAAGAGAAAGTCGTAAAATATCAGTAGTAAATAAGACCTGTCGCCACAGTAGTCACAAGCGTGACTAAAAACAGGCTGAACGTGTTTGTTTCGAAGATATTTCGAAAATGATATACAATACCATTATTAAAAAGATGAAACTTACCAATGAATGGAATAAATCTCCAGGTGTTTCCAAAAAAGAAGATTGGTTTGGGACCGGGAAGTTCTGAATATGGACGAACATGAGACAAAACGTTTTCATCGAACACTGGTGCAAAAGCACACAAATTTCTTGTAAAAATATTTCTTATTAAAACAGTTTTCACTGACAAATTAATCGCGATTGTCATGTTTATCAAACAATTGGAGAGAAAACTGATCTTTCCATGGAGAAAATTAAAGACTACTCACTCGGATGAGTTCCTACCATGGATAGAGACACAGAAATGAGATCAGACCATTATACTGTTCACCGGCCCGATAGTGAAAACTTAAACCCCATAACAATTCGCTAACACGAAGGCGATTGTTCACCAACTGTACATTTGCTCCTAACTTTCCTGAGGCATTGGGCACATTGCGACTCGCCTCCTTCTCAACAAATCTTATTTCGAAATAGAGGCGGTAGGAAATCCTCCTCTGGTAATTTTACTCATCATTCATTTTTCACCAGAAAACGCACAATTATGGCAATGTATTTTTTGCTGAAAATTGCAGCTTGAAAAATTTCACATGCAAAGGTGTACGTGTTTATGGTAGGCGGAAAAATATCCCCGGAAAAAATAGCCCACACACCCAAAACGTGTTAAAACCCACCCAATTTGATAGACCATAGGAAAATTAGAGCCCCTGAAGAAATAGACAACGAAAAAAATAATTAAATTAAAAAATAATTAAATTGAGCGAGTTTTAACACGTTTTGAATGTGTGGAATATTTTTTCCCTGGGATATTTTTTCCAGGATTCCGTGTTTATACCTTGGGAACAAAAATTGGTTTCAAGGCGGGCGTCTTTACGTGCATTCAGAAGAACATATACTCACAATTTCCAGCAAAATTACATCTTGGACTGAGAGAAAAAAACTGTAGCCAATCGAAACGTGCCGATTTTTTCGAGAAGCAGGGTTTCTACTACTACGACACAAAAATTATACCTTACTCTCAGACAAGAAAAAGTAGTATCAAGAAATTATGAACTCGTCCCAAAGATGATGATAAATTATTCATATTGGAAATGTGATTCCTTAAACAAAACCTAGCTGAGTGAATTGGCTCAAACGTTTTCGTTTCTCAAATGGAAAAGATTTCAACAAAAAGTAATCATCTTTTTAGTCTTACTTCATCGCTCATCACTTTTCGGAGAAGTACAAAATCTCCTAACCAATTTTTTTTCGGTATATCGGTTTTTTTGGGAATTTTCGAGTATGAATTTCTTCACACAATTAAAGCGCATTTCTCAAAAAAGGATTTTTTTCGGCGTAGGTTTCGATTAAATTTGAAATTGCTATTACTGTTTTTGCCGCATAGAGTAACAGTATTGACTACAGTGATATTTCAGGAAAATTAGAAGACTTTAAAAGGTCGGAGATTTCCCTGAAGAGGGAAGTGTGAAAATAGTTTTCAATGAATGTTCTAAATAATATTTTAAAAAACAATCCTATATTCGTTTAACCACAGATTGTAATATTGTTTCACAAATTACGTTACATTACACATGAATAAATTCAACAGGAAACCTGAGTGCATTTCTGAGGACGTTATTCTCACTTTGAATGACGCTTTCGTTGAAAAATCTTTTAGCCTATCCTCATTCTTCAAAAATTTTATTTGTTTTTCTGGGCATTCTTCTTGAAGCAACGCCTTCACTCATGTGCAGCTAATATGGACCCATAGAAAGAAATTTTATTCAATGCATTGACTAAGATATCATTTTTCATTGTGGAATAGTATATTATGCCACAAGTGCGGTATAAATTTTTTTCCTCATGGGGAATTTGTAAAATGAGCCTTCAGTTAGTTTTACAATCCCATGAGTCGAAAAACACCATATCACACGCATTTCGCATAATATTTTGTGTCACTAGACCCAGAATCCGCGGTGCTATATAAGGAAGACCAAGGTTTTTGACGCGTATTGGAAAATAAAGAATTAAATTAATGGTATTTGACCGCCTTATACTTAGCGCATTAATTCATGGGAATCATTAATTACCTTTTCAAATAATTTTGAAATAATTTAGGGAAATTTAGCTAGTAGGTGTCATGATTTGGTGAGATCTCGTTAATTAATTATTCATTTTTTAAAATTAAAGCGTATACACGGAGAGAAATATTTAGTAAAAATTACGGAACTTTCAGTTCACTTACCAATTACGGAGTTGATTCGAAAAATTTAAGTGACGGTATCGTTATTTTTCACCGATAATTCAGATAAAAATTACGGAATGACGCGGAAAAATTCCGTGACTTTAGATAAAAATTACGTGACAGTTCCGTAAAATTTCCGACAACCACATTTCGCTCCAGAATTACGGAAAATACACGTAATTTTTATTGAATATATCTCTCAGTGTAGTTAGCAAAAATTGCTTATTTTGTATTTTTCTAAATTGGGAATGACGTCAGAATCATTTGGGGAATCGATTTCTGTAGATTTCATAATTTGGGGAATTGATAAAAAGTTGATAATTAATAAATTAAAAAATTCAATCAATTTTCAGCCCTGTGCATGCGCGCATGCATACCCGTTCCATCCTGCGCCATTCGGGCACACTAATTACTGGAAATCATTAATTATCCTATAAAATAATTAAGAAATAATTGGGAAAATGTAGGGAGTAGGTTTCATAATTTGGGGAGATCTCGTTAATTAATTATTCATTTTTTTAAATTAAAACGTATAGTTAGTGAGAATTTCTTATCTTTTATTTTTCTAAATTGGCAATTACGTGGAATCATTTGGGGAATCGCTTTCTGTAGATTTCATAATTTGGGGAATTAATAAAGAGTTGATAATTAATAAATTTAAAAATTCAATCAATTTTCAGCCCTGTGCATGTGCGCATGCATACCCGTTCCATCCTTCGCCATTCGGGCACACTAATTACTGGAAATCATTAATTATGCTATGAAATAATTAAGAAATAATTTGGGGAAATGTAGGGAGTAAGTTTCATAATGTGTGGAGATCTCGTTAATTAAGTATGCATTTTTTTAATTAAAGCGTATAGTTAGCGAACATTTTTTATTTTTTATTTTTAAGTTGGGAATTACGTAGAATAACTTGGGGACTTGATAAAGAGTTGATAATTAATAAATTAGATAATTACATCAATTTCCAGTCCTGCGCGTGCGCGCGTCCACACCCGTTCCTTCCTTCGTTATCAACACTCGTTTAAAAAAAATTGAATATTATTCATAGAAAACTTGTTTACTAATTTTATAGAGGATAAAGCAGCAACCGAATATGAATCAGAAAGCAAACTTCGATCACTGAGTTGTCGAAATAGCGATAAATTGGATTGTGATTTATTTTCAATTTTTATCGTTTTTCCTTGTAAAAGCATTGTAGAGAAATGAAAAGTACGGGAAAATTTCAGTCAGAGAAAATTCACACAACGTCATTTCTTAAAGAGAACACTAGTCAATTAGAGTGGAAATGATCCTTCCATTTCTCTGTTTTTCTCGCCAAAAATCCAAAATAATGTGATTATTAAATATAAAATACAAAATAAAAATAAAGATATAAAATAATCACATTATTTTGGATTTTTGGCGAAAATGAAAGAAAAACATTAACGGTTGAAAGAAAACAATGGGAAACTGAATGAAACATAAATTTTTCGTTTCATTTGTTAATTATTAACATATTCGATTATTTGAAAAATCCAATTTTCGAAATAAAATTTAAAAGTAATGGAATGGAAGTATTTCTGTTTCATACACTTATGATTTTTTCATAATTTGGTGGAATTAATTACAAAAAAATATTCAAAAATGTCCAAAATTTCTGGAACGAAATTTGAAATGATGTTTTTCTGTGCATCGGTGACATATAATTGGAAAACAACGATCTTCTTATGATAATAACACAGCAAGTAACTAACTGACAAAGAAGTTTGAAGTCCAATGAAATGGAAAAAAATTGAGTGGAAATCAATATTAATAAGTGCATTATTTGATTTTCGATTTTTCAAAAACTGGAAACAATGAACTGGTTTATTAATTATTGAAATTTTTTCAATTTTTCAAATTAAAGAAACAGTTGGGATCAATTCCCCAAATGATTCTCCCTTTAAAAAAAGAAAGATTTCGCTAATTACGTACTTTAAGTGTAAAAAATTGATAATTAATTAATGAGGTCTTCCCAAATTATGAAACCTACTCCCTAAATTATTTCGAGATTATTTCATAGGTTAATTAATGATTTCCATTCATTAGTACGCCCGATGGCGGAGAATGGAACGGGTATGCATGCACGCATGCACAGGGCTGGAAATTGATATAATTATTTAATTTATTACTTATCAATTCCCCAAAATATGAAACTGTAGGGGTTCGGGCGGTTTAGAATTAATTTGTAATAATAAGTTGATTCCATTCGACCTGGTTGCCACAAAATAATATTTTTATTTAGTGGATACTTATACTTTAAAGTGCCAGGCACATCTGCAGTTATTAATCCGTCCTCGGGATGAATGAAATGATAAGGATAAATGTAGAAGGAAATCAATTTAATGAAATTAGGTTTTGATTAGATAAAAGTAACCACCATATTCGGAAAGTACTCACAAATCATCTCATTTCTCACCCATACTCATCCGTCCACTCGTTTCACAATAGTTTTGTATTATCTGGCTAAAACTTCAGCCAGTACATGAATAAACCTTAATATTAGGGATTTAGTTAACTTGAAATGTGTCCTTTGTATAGAACTTCACGTAAGATGTACGAGACCGAGTTACTTTGCACCTCATCTGGCGGATCCTTGTGGAGTTAGGTTTTCAAAAATAATGGAACCGATCACCACGAAGATGTGCGTAATTGTAATCGATAATAATCCCAGTTTACTCGGATTATCGGTAAGCCGCAGGCAGGAGAAATTTAACTGGTTCCGGAATCAAGTACCAAATAATCTCGAGGAGTTCGCCCCTTTGTACGTTCTTTGTTGAAGCTAGGACGGGACTGATCAGTTTTCGATCATCAGTCTCAGTGGGAGTTCGGTCGATGCCCGGGAACATTGGCCGAACTGCTGATTTTTGATGATTTTTGATAGATTCGTTGAGTCGATGCATTCCGCGGGCGAACCGTGTGAGGAATCGCGAAATCTGTGAAACTTGCTCGCTCGATTTCGCTTACTTTAATTTACCTTATTTTAATCGATAAATTCCAAATACAACAAAACCTACAGAAATCGATTTCCCAAATGATTCTACGTAATTCTTAATTTAGAAAACTAAAAAATGAGAAATTTCCGCTAACTATACGCTTTAATTTCGAAAAATTAATAATTGATTAACGGGGTCTCCTTAAATTATAAAACCTACTCCCTAAATTTCCCCAGATTATTTCCTAATTATTTCATAGGTTAATTAATGATTACCATTAATTAGTGCGCCCGATGACGAATGATGGAACGGGTATGCATGCGCGCACACGCACGACGGGAAATCGATTTAATTATTTAATTTATTAATTATCAACTCTTCGTCAATTTCCCAAATTATGAAATCTACAGAAATCGATTCCCCAAATGATTCTATGTAATGTTCAATTCAGAAAAATAAAAAATAGGAAATTTTAACTAACTATATGCTTTAATTTAAAAAAATGAATAATTAATCAACGAGATCTTTCCACATTATGAAACCCTCTCCCTAAATTTCCCCAAATTATTTCCGAATTATTTGATAAGTTAATTAATGATTCACATTAATTAATGCGCCAAGTATACGGCGGTTGCGTGAGCAGGACCGACGTATATTTGGCGAACAAATTGAATATTTTTCAAAAAGTCATTAATAGAATAATTAGGAAATGATTTCGAAATATTTAGCAAACCTTTTTTAGAATTTGCAAACAAGTGGATATTTAATTATTATTAATAAACTGTTCAACCATATAATTGGCGGAATTTAATCAAAATTGCAATAACCAAATTCTAAACGATGGAACGGGACCCCTGATCTAACATGTGATGAGAACGTCATTAACGTCTAGTATAATTATAAAAAAAGAAAATGAATATGGTCATCCCACGTGACGCTGCGGCTATGGGGCAGCAGTATCCAATTAGCCGACAAAAAATATTTTTCAAATAAATTACCATTCAAAATGGCTTGTAATTCGTTAGCCGGTCATTGTACATCGGTTTTTAACGTTTGAGAGTTGATGTTTTTTTTTTATTAATTAATGAAAAAATTTCATGAAGATAGCCGACAAATTTTTGAAAAATTCATAGAAGAAAAAATTTTTTATCCAATCGATTGCAAATTGTTTGCAGAATCTGAATCTATGCTGCAAATTGTTTGAGAGTTGATAGTTTATTGGGAATCATCAATTTTTGATAACATGGTAAATTATACAAAATTCTAAGTAATTGATTTTTTAATAAATCATCACCTACAATGGATTGTAATTTATTAGCCGGTTATCGTATGCCATTTTTTACCATCTGAGAGTTCATAAGCCTTTTTTAATTAATTAATTATGAAAACTATGATGTTAGCCGATAGAATTTTTTTCTATGACTAGAAAAATATATACAAAACTCTCAATCAATGAACTTTCAAATGTTAAAAAGGGGCAGCCACAACTTCACTGAAGATGACTGACTGAACTAAAAAAAATCATTATATTAATAAACCCAGAACAATTTGCATTTATCAAATAATACATATATTACCTGTGTGACCAGAGAATTCCTATAAAATATAAGTCCAACCGAGGCACACTACTTGGGGATTTCGTATCTGTGATCTTATTTAAGGGGAGTTTGATATAATTCAAAGGCGTCGTGAAATGATGAGTAAAAAGGAACCGAAGGTTAAATGACTAACTCGGAGGTTTTGACTATGTTAATAATTTACTATATTTTTGAATGAGAGATCATCACCAAAATTACTACACGAAGAAATAGGGCCTTTTAATGATTGGCTTGAGGGATAAGAGTAAGGTTAGCCAACTAGCGCCAACGCGACATATATTCACAAGGGGTGATTCGACTACAAAAAAAGACGAAAGAGAAGTTAGGAGGACCACTGAAAAATAATAGCAATATGCAGGGGCTCAAAATACATTTAAGTTATTAATAAAGAGAGAGGTTCAAAAAATAATAATAAAACCATTCCGAAATTTAATAACTACGATGGGGCTCACCGTTGGGGGAAATTAATACGGGCTAAGGGAAACTCGTTCGGACAGGGAATGAAAGTGGCCAATTAAAACGTGACACGGGCATCCCTGCACCAAATTTCTAGTCCCAGATTCTATCATTTCATTACAAGTTAGCAGGTACGATTCGCTAGAGATATTTAATTGATTTTCTCATCGTATAAACGGGCCGTTGCCAAACGTCAGAAATTTGCGAATTCAAACCATCCAATATGGCCGTCAGCCGGATGGAGAGATTTGTGATTCAAGTTTCATTTATTATTTGTTCGGAAACTCATTGTTTTCCATGTTTTCAAAAAAATTACAGAATCTAATGAATAAAGTCATATGTGATTAAATTCACGAAACAACGCAATAAGTCTGTATAAGTTCAATTTTTGGAAAATTACAGATGTTTATCTTCATTCCCAGATTTATGAAAACCCTTTTAAAAAGGGGAAAAAAATCGAAAAAATTCGAGATAATTGTGCTCTCAGTTCCTTTCAAATTGAAGAACAAAAAATCACGGCGTTTTGCCTGCAACACATTTTTTTTCAATGAAAACTGCAAATTTTTTCGTTTTTTGTTCAAGATACCGGCAGAGATCATTCGTTCAGGTAAATTAAGTATATCTGCTCAAATTACTCATGTCTATGTATAGTTATGATTACTAGTTAATTAACCTCTAGAATGATCTGTGCAGGGATTCTTGACAACAACCGTAAAAATTTTCAGTTGTCATTTTTTTCAAATGTGTTGCAGGCAAAACATCGCAAGTTTATTTTTCTCAACGTTTAAGGAATTGCGAGTACAGCCATTGCAAATTTTCTCAGACTAGTAGAAAATTAATTGAAAATTAAAAAAAAAATATACAGTGATACAAGAACGAATTTACCAAGGAAAAGAAAGAAAATATTATGGTAAACATACCCGGCGTTTACCGAAATTATTTTGTACAACGTTGAATTATTTTTGATTTTTTTAATTTCCCCAGATTTTTAAAACCATTTTTAGAGTGGGATAGAAAATAAAACTGAAGAAACCCATTGTTAATTCATCAAAAATCAGGGAATCAAAATGAAGATCTGAAATTTTCCCTACAATTATCTTTTCGGGTCATAAATATCTGAAGAAATTGGCGCCTTAAAATTAGATGAGGGCAGAATAACCATGTATATTGGCTTAATTTGAAAAACGCGAAATAATTTCCACGGAAAAGAATTTAACCCTGCGCATGATGGAGAGTTTGCCTGCTCTCTCTCTCTCTCTCACTCTATCAGGTTCGCATTGCTCCCTCTCTGTGTCTTCTCGGAATAGTAACTTGTGTTATCGAGTACACTGAGAAAAAAAAATAATTTTGCCTAGAATATTTTCTTCCCACAAGTAAATCTGGCGATCACTGTGTAAATACTCTCATAAGACTTACTAATGCCAAATATATTTTCTTGTGGTTAGTAAATATTCTTGGGTAAAGAAATTTTTTTTCTCGGTGTATGTTCTACATTTTCACGATAAATTAAAAGCATTGCAAAAGCTACGTGTATTCCAAGAAAAAACCAATAAAGAACACAGGGAACGTGCGATGGCGATATCGTAAAAGCAAGAGAGAAAAGGAGAGCAATCGTAACGAATTGATTATTTTTCTTCGTTTTTCAAAAATTAGAATAAATCAGCGTTCATTTTTGGAGAACTCTGAGGACAAGAATCATGTACTCAAGTTCTACTAGGAGTAAAGGCATCATTGAATGTTCACATTTCTAAATTGCAAAATATAAAAATACCAAAATAGTTGAATTTCGTTTATTATACTAATAGTATATTATGCAACATGTGCGTAATATATTTTTTGACTCGTGGGAGGTTTGTAACACGAGCCGAAGGCGAGTTGTACAATCCCACGAGTTGAAAAATATATTACGCACGCGTTTCATACAAAATTTTATGTCATTGCGCCCGGAATCCGCGATTTAACCGAGCGAAGCGAGGTTAGAATCGCGAGATTACGGGCACCGATGGCATAAAAATATTTCTGATATACTAGTTTACAATATTTTCATATATAATTACAATATTGATCATTTCAGTTTCACCGCCTATTTAAGATTAAAACGATGATAAAAAATGTCATGCCAGTTCGAAAACTTCCTGTGAAAAAAAAATCAACATCTTTGGACGAAATTTGAACTTGCATTCGGCTCAACGTTCGCGGTGGATTATTATGGACATTCTCGCCAGCGCATGCTGTTTTATGGACAGACACGGCTTCTGTTTTAGTATCACACATTTGGAGTAACTAATAACTTATAATCATTCCGCCATTACGTGATTTTGAAAAATCTGATTCGATAACTTTGTAATGCAATGAAATCAGTCAAAACATTCGTCCCCTCCCTTACTTCGGCAATCTACTTTGGTTTTGGCGCCCCCCACCATTGCTACCGCCCTCCGTTTTGGATTTTAATTAATAATTAATTAATGACATCGTTACAAACGATGAAACCGATTAATATGGCCACTACAATCGAAATACAATCGATTTGACTGGTCGTCATTACAAAATATTCCATTTTTAAATAATTTCAGGTCAACTACACGCCCAAACTTAATTAATTAATTAAAATAATTGGGAAATGTTACAAACAATTATATATCCATTACAATCAAGTACTAACCCAATACAATCGAATGCAATGATGTTTATCTCTATCACTGACCTTTTCAGGTCGAGTACATGGAGGTGGTTCGCTCCGTAGTCGCCGCAGGAAAACTGCTGTGCTCCGCTGTAATCTCTGGTAGTACCTTTGGAGATTCTCAGCCGTTTGTTTTACCGATCGAGCGGTCAATTTCTACGCGATTTATATACGCCTCACATTCACATTCGTCCAGCCTTAACCTCGAATTCCCGTTGAGTGAATTGCAATACGCGATTAGAATTGTTTCTTTCTTGTTTGTTGCGATTCTGACATAAATTTTTCAGAAAAAAATGTCTGACGATGAAGTCGAAGCTTTCGAAATTACGAATTATGATCTGGACAATGAATTCAATATCAATCGTCCTCGGAGGAAACTTACGAAGCAGCAACAAATGCTAGGTATTTATATATCTTTTTCAATGTAAACCCTCTCGCCACTTAACATGCAGGTGCAAAGAAGAGAGCGATAATGAGAATTGCCTTTTAAATATTTTAAAAAACCGTTTGAGAACAAAAAAATGGGAAAATTGATCTGCGGATTTTTATTTTATTGCCGTATTGTAATTTTTGTATAGGTGGTACTTTGTTTACTTTGTAAAATATTTCCACAATGATTTTTCCTGTAGATAGATGACTGAACAATTTGATAACAATGATTTTATAAATAAATTACAGGCTTGGGGCTTCGTGGAAATAATACAAAACCGTTTATGGAGTTCAGGAAATTCAGAGTAAAAAGATAATTCAATGTATTCCTCAACATAAGTGATTCCCAAAATATCTCTCTAATAATGGATATTTTCGATAGGAAGTGATGATGTCTATAAAAAACATAAAATACAGTTTACTTTTTAAATATCTGAGGAAATACTGGGAGAAAAAAAAATTGCTCTGCTAAAAAACTACATTTTCAGCTGAACAATGTTTTGTGGAATCAAGCTTAATTATTTCTGCTCCAAAATTCAGCAATAGGATATGAATACCACTCTTTTTTAATTCAAATTTTGTTCAAAAAAACAATGTATTTGACTGAAAATCAAAATCTCTCTGTTGACGGTGGCATCATTATGCACAACACAGTTAAATTCCTTTTCACCCATTTTTCTTTATTGAGCAGGAGATTAAGTCGAGTTTTCAGTGAATGAAACGTTAAATTTCAAAACACACAATGTTGAACGCGCAGAGCATCTTAACAACTTTGTCCAAACTTTTTTCCTTGCAACGGAATGAACTATTTGAATTCCCATCCCAGAATCATTAACATTTTTTACTCGACGAAAAAAATCCTTGAAGGATTCGAATGAATATATTTTTTGCAGAGAAAATTTTTTCTTAGTGAATAAAATCTCTTCTAACATCTGCGTCCTCCCTTCCAGAAAATGTTTTGAATTTTTTAAACATTTCCCTTTACAATTTTGTATAGAATTATGTATTAAATCCTATTTATTCATAAAAATGATATATGCTAATATGCTCTTGTCCTCGCAATATCCAGGTGTTTGGGCTGACGACAGTGATGAGGATGCTGCACTACAACCATCTAAGGGAGGATTTAAAGGACCATCTAGAGTACCTAAGAATTATACAGTTCCTGTCAGTTTCGTTGCTGGCGGAGTTCAACAGGCAGGAAAACCAAAGGAAGAAACACAAGATCAAGATGATCAGGATGAGACCGGTATAGCTGAAGTAGGTGATGCTGATTATGTACCGCACAATTCCAGGTAAATGTGTTTTTTTTCTGTGTTTCTCTGTGTTTTTTGCCATCGTCAAATGTTTAACATTCACTGGTTTTCATTTCGTATATATCGATACAGCTAGCATGAAATTGGCAGAAACGAGATAAATTCAATTGTTGATAGGTGCCTATCATCAAACATTATTATATATTTTATCATATATCATATCATGTATCTTATCATATATCAAATATAGTCCAAGTATCAAGTCCTCTCAAATATTACTTATTGATAGCAACACCAATTAAACGTAAAACATAAATCAAGGATCATAATTCCCTCAAAATCTCGATTGATATTCAGCTTAAAGATAACTTAAAACAATTCAACTCTCTCACGTTATAGAGTATTATTACAATTCACAATAAGGACCAAAATTGCATTCTGATTAATGAACGTGAATGAAACGATTTCGTTTTAACGCATTGATGAAGTGGACAAAAGCTGCTCTTTCCCAAATTATGTGTTTATAATTATTTTTCAACTGCCCGTTCCATGCGGAACATCTTGGTTATTAAAATTGTCATTAAATATCACGTTTTTCAAGCTAGATTATTGGATTGACTTGGTTGCATAGAATTAAACTTTGGATCCCTCAAATCATTTTGGTCAATCTCACTTTTTTATCAGCCCTTTGAGTTAAACTAAGTCTGCTCATTTATTTTGAACTTTCATAAAAATCAAATGTACTAATCAATAGCGTAACTTTCGTCTATCTACTGAAGAATGTCTTTTAACAGTCATTTCTCATCAAATTTCATATCAGCTATTTTTGTGGAGGGCAGAAGTTAATGGTTCCATAATGGTTCGTAATTATTATGACTGGGAAATTTTTCATCTTTGTCTTGGTCTTTTTGTCCATGATTCGGCCTCCCATACATATTACCTGCAGGTACATCATTTTGAGCCAAAATTTTTAAAATTTTAAAATTTTAAAATTTTGGCTCAAAATGATGTACCTGCAGGGAATATGTATGGGAGAGTAATAGTCAAAATTTTTGACTATTACTCTCATTTTCTTTATTATTCTATTTATAATCCGTCGAAAGTTCACTAATCTCTGAGGTAATCGTCTCGACCCTTGATTTTGGAGATGCGAAAATAAAATAATTATTGATCTGGTCTTCACATCTGGATATGTTGCTGTGGGGTAGCTTCAGTGTAAAAGCCTTTTGAAAATTAATAGACTATCTCATCTTTTCACTGATGGATTTACTAGTGTGCCTGGATTTAGTCATGTACCCTTGGGCAACTCTTTGAGACTTCCACCCTGCAGGCTGAATCAGAAACATCCTCGCACCAGAATCAGTTATCATTAATGCAGGAGTGTGGCGGAAGGTATGTCCGGTGTAATCTGAAGGTGAATTCAGTTCCAAGAAATGAGCAATTTCTTGAGGCCTTTTTCCAAATGTGTTTCCTCCCACATTCTGATCGCTGATTGTCCGCCACCATATTTTATGAAAAAATGTAGGGTAGTCGTGTGCCTTGCGTGGAATTGCATGTATTTTTTTTTACTAGTTGATATAATTCGCCATCCACTATGAATTGTTCATCATTCTTAGTGTTTTTTTAAAGTGAGATGGAAAGGTAGTTGCAGAAAAGCACAAGTTGAAAATCTATTATTTGATGGATCAGCAAGGAGAGGGGCGGGATATAAAAGTGAATCATTGTCTGCGTCATGCAGGGAAGATTATTTAGCAAAGTCGTTCTCTGAAAAATTTTTAATTATTTCTAAGATTTTTTCAATCATAGTTTCCTTATCTCATAATTGGCAGATGTCTCCGAATCAGAAATAGAAAAATTGAAGTGGCAATCAGCTGTCACTTTGTCGAGTGAGAAAAGGAAGAGTAGAGGAATGGATGTTGCAGAGTTTAATTTTGATGTCCTGATGTTTTGAAAAAAAATATTTCGGTAAGTCTTGTTCCTATTTTTTGCACCCATCCTCATCTCTATGAAGTAAAGAAGTTATGATTGAAAAAATCTGAAAAATAATTGAAAATTTTTCAGATAAGAAAATTTTATACATATTCTCCACGTGCTGCGTACGGAATATTTACATTTAGCATATAGGCCAGTAAAACAAGACTCGCATTTATACTTGATACCACCCAAAAAAGTCCTGGCAGGCTGAAATTGCATTAAAGTGTAGAGAAAATTCTCCTGATCATCATATCAAAAATGTGCATCTTCACGTTGAGCAGAAATATGCTTAATTAATTGAAAACTAATGAAAAAATGAGGGCGAACGCCAAAAAACTACACTGGATTAATTAGTCTAATCCTACCGGAAAAATAAAATTATCCCGAGGTTGGGCTGACCCAATTCTTCATATTGCAAGTAGAAGCAATGTTCTCAAGCTCTTCGTTATTTTTTATTTAATTTTTAAACACGATTTGGAACAAAAAGTCCCAAATAATCGGCTGATCACGTATGCCCGCCCCCCTGATGCGTGCGTCACTGGACGCACTGGACAGAGCATTTCAAACTCCTGCGCATCCCGCGCATACCCATCAGCGGCGCGCGCAACGGGGGGCCGGGCAACACAATCAGCTGATTGTTTGGGTCTTTTTGTGCTCAACGATGTTTGAAAATTAATTAAAAAATAATAGTAGGCTTAGGAACATTACTTCGACTCGAAATTTGAAGCATCAGATGAGCCCAACCTCTGCATATTTTTATCTTTTCGATAGGATTAGAACAATTAATCCAGTATAGTTTTTTGGCGTTCCCCCCAACTTTTTGATTAATTTTCAATTAATTAAGCACATTTCTGCTGAACGTGTGGGTAGAGATTTTTAATATGATGATGAGGGGAATTTTCTCTACATTTTGGTGTAATTTCAGCCTGCCAGGACTTGTTGAGGTGGTTAAGGTCCAATTTGACTGGCCTAATACTTCCACCAGAGATTATAGGGGAGATTGCTAACGCCAATGGCGAAGCTTCAACCGCGAAATTGTCTGGCCGCCCGAGCCGAACTAATTTTGCGGGTGTACCTGTGAATCAAACAGATCGCGAGGGCAAGAGTGTCGGTAATTTTCGGAGGGCGTGGGTATAGATAAAGCAGAGCGCGAGCCCGAGCGTGTCGATAATTCGGAAAGACCAGCAAACGCGAGAGTGTCGATAATTCCAGGAAATCGTGAGGAAAGAGAACATTCCATATAGAGCGGAGTGGGGGTATGATGAAGAAACAATCGATGGACGGAATGACAAAAATGAATTCACTTCTGTAAATTCGAAAAATTGTTCAACAAATTGGGGAAAAATTGTCTCGAAAATATATATTCAAACGATTGAGAATCGTGTGAAACGTGGAGATTTATGGGTCCCTCAGAACTTTTTTTTTTAATCGATATCTTTTTTGTTAACAATTTCAAAAATGATTAAACAAATT